TTGTTTGTTACATTGCTCTCTAAGAGATCCAAGAGATGGCATTGCTTAAGAAGGCATAAGTAGGGGAGGTAGAGTGGGGAGGCTGGCCTGCCATTAGAGAAGGGGCAGGGAGAACAGGGCAGGGTGGAACAGGGTTGGCAAAGCGCACATTTGATCAGGACACTCACAACTCAGCAGGGGAGCCACCTTTATTGCATCCATAAGCATAATGATGCTGTGCTCAGCTGGAATTTACAGAGGGCTTATTAAAACAAGACAAAACTAAACTCACAATGTATAGTTTGTCTCTTCTCAAAAAAAAAAAAAAAAAAAAAAAAAAAAAACTTCAAAAACATGGGGAATGGGACTGGTGAACCATAGAATGGATACTTGATTTTATGTAGTTGGTTTCTAAATTGTCCACCCTGGTAAAATGTTGGACTTTGTGTCATTTTATTAGTCAATGAATATGCATTGAGCACTTATCATGGTAAATATTTAGTTGTGGATATTGTGCCAGGCACTATAGTCTCAGCCTGAGTTGGCAATCAGCAATAATGTGTCACTTCAAAGATCTGTAATCAGAAAAGGAATCTTTCTCAAAATCAATATACAACATTTATCAATAATAACAGTGCTAGATACTGCTAAATCCTTTACTTCCAGTCAACGTTAATCTCACAAACCTATGAGATACAATAACCCTATCATTATCTCCATTTCACAATAAGAAAACTAAAGCACAGAGAAGTTAATTGACTTGCCTGCAGTCACTTTGTAAATGGTGGGACTGGGCTATGAACCTACGAAGTTGATCTCCAGTTCCTATGCTCAAGGGTGAAGCTCTCCCTTTGGTTGGTTTCAAAGGTTGATGAATAGGACCTCCTTGGTGCTCTCACTCACTGGCTGCTCCTCAGAATGAGGGATCCTGCTGACCTTGCTTCTCTGCAAAGCTCCTTAAAGAAACTCCTGTTCAAATGGGGCCTGGCTCTTCACATGCTCCTCTCACCTGGGGCAGGTACAGAGTTCCTCAGGGATGCTAGTTAAAATGCAAATCCTGCTCCCTTTCTGACTCTGCTGTGGCAGCCCTGGGAATATGCATATGTGATGATTGGTCCCTTATGACTGATGCAGGTGACTGACCAGCCCATGCTGGAGAAATGACAGCATTTTATTTTATTTTTGATAGTGGGGGTTGAACCCAGGGCACTTAACCACTGAGCCACACACCAAACCCTTTTTATTTTTTATTTAGAGACAGGGTCTCACTAAATTGCTTAGGCCTTTGCAAAGGTGCTGAGGCTGGCTTTGAACCTGCAATGCTCCTGCTTCAGCCTTCCCAGCTGCTACAGGCATGCACCACCATGCCCGGCAATGTCTGCATTTTAAAGACAAGTTTCCAAAGTTGGGAACTATGTGTATCTTTCAATGGGTTTCCCAATAGGCATCCTGTAGAGTGTTCACAGCAGTCTCTTTGTGGATACAAGAATTCTATTCCTTGTTTTGCCTCCATTATTTAACCCTTCTGAATCCAAGAGTTTTCTCGTGCAAAATAATAACCCTCTTTGCCTGTCTCAACAGAGTGTTATGACAGCACTTTGAAAACTCCAACGTGCTATACAAATATAAGACATTAGTATTCATTGTTGTTTTTCCTGCTTATCACAAGTACTGTCAACTTCACATATGCACTGTTAATAGCCCGCTTTCAAATTGTGTTGACATTTTAGGTGATTCTTAATGGACTTTAGTGTATTTCATTCGGGGGCTCTGTGTTACGGTGTCTGGCTGGCTGTGGGAGTGACAAGATAAGGACAAGAAAGGACCCTGGGAAGAGGTTCTGGAGGACCCAGAGTTCAGTCAGAGTTTTGGGAGCCACAAAGGTAGAGGTCAAGGTCACAGTCTGGGGTCAAGGCAGAGTTTGGGTCAGTTTAGTGAGGTCCTGATCATCCTGTTGGCAAGCAGGGTTTTAGGTTCAAGGTTGGGGCTTGCGGCTTCCAGGAAGGAGTGTGATCCTTCAGGATGTATGGCCTTCCATCAGGAGCATTTGCCAGTAGAAACAAGACTCTTCTACAGAATGAAGCCATCTCCAGAGGTGGTATTTTGCCAGTTGCAACTGGGGCGTGTGTGTTATGGGTGGTGGTGGCAGGAAGAAGGGACTGGGGAGAGAAGGTGAGAGCGAGCACCACGGAACCCATGTGAGTCCTGCATTGAGTCTGTATTGTTCATTTCAACTAATTCCTATCTTGTATGTTGTGAATGTTCCTTTGGCTGCATCTCCTTTAGAGATCAGTTTTGCCTCCTGTTGCTATATCTGAAGCTGAGGGTATATGATGCTGTTGTCAATGGTTTTGCACAGATGTCTTGTCATTTCAGTATAATAATCAGTCGCTTAAGTCAATCATTGATTTGGTCTCCCTCATAAGTACATTCTTTTGTGGTAGAAGCTAAGTATGTCAACCCTCAGAGGGTAGCAGATCTCTTTATAAACTACTGGGTCTCCAGCCCAACCCTCTGTATAAAGAATAGCTTAGTTAGCCAAGTGTGTGCTTATTTTAATGATGAAAAGAACTTTCATGGCAACTGTATAAAATCCTTCAGGTAAAAGAGATTGGTATTATTTTGTATGTGTGCATGACTTGTTTTTAATGGCAAAAAGCTCAGAGTTTTTAATCTGTTGGGAGGCTAATCCGTTAGGGTACCCCAAACACATTTTTCTATTTATTTCATTATATTTGCTTTCTTGGAACATTGAGCAAAATTAGTTAAATTTGGGAGTGATTATAGAGCTACATGGTGACAGACTTTATGACTTGGCATTTGGTTCTTTAATTTAATAGTAGCATGTTTGTAAAAGTATCCACGGCTTCCTAAATGGAGATATATTCAAACTACACTCACTCATTCCTTCTGTAAAGAGCACTGAAGGTAGATAGAGGGTATTAAGTTACTGCTGAATAGGAACAAGGAGCTCTGCACAGGAAGTTGACTGCAGGTAACAATAATGTACTAAATCTTTCAAAAAATTAGCAGAAAGGAGTTTAAAAGTTTTTACCATAAAGCAATGATAGATTTTTGAGGAGTTGATTAGCCTCATTCAAACATTACATGGTCTATATATGCTGAAACATCACATTGCCCACTAACGTGTACAATTTTTGTTTTTATGTGTTAGTTGAAAACTAAATTTAATTTTAAAGAAGTCTGATTTCATGACATGCCTGTGTTAGAGTCTTCTATGGGGGAAGGGAATGATTTATAATATGCCTCAGCCTTCCCATCCAAGTTTGTATCAATAGATTGGTGGCATTCAGGTTCAGAATTTAAAAGAAGAAAAACTAAACAATATAAATCCATGCACTAATTTGCATGATGCAGATATTTTTCAGTATCTGTAATTTAAGGAGATGGCATGTTTTAGAAAAGCATTAGTGTAGTGATTCTGTTCAATTTTATAACAGCGACTACCTTTTTGTTATTGTTATATTTTTCGAAGACTTGAGACATTCTTAGCAACAGAAAACTTTTCTGTTGTTTAAATCTTTTGGTAATTTCCTTCTTTTGAACACTTTCTTTCAGATGAATATTAAAATGTTAAATGAAAAAATGGATAGAGAAGTTATAGACCAGAGTATTAAAGAGCCAGGGAAAGGGAGAGATGTCATTCCAGAATTCAATACTCTAGACTCCAGTCAATTGAATTAATATTAAAGTGGAATGAAGTGAAAACTAGATTGCTCACACTACTTTCATCTGGTCAAATTCCTCCAAGAATTCCGGTTCCCATGAATATTTAGCTTTCCTAGACTCGGGAATAAATCTGATTTTTACCTTGAGGAAACACATACCATACATGTCCTGAAAAACACAAATGCAAATTCAATGAAACTCCCTAATATTGAACCCATCTGTATTGAATCCCTGTGTATAGCAATCAAATTGGAAATCCAGGTCTATTACATGCACATGTAATATTTCCAGAGTATATCAAATTCCATCCTATATCAAATTTTTTCCTTGGGTTCCTAGAAATTTAATATAAGCAAGTTTCACTCTATTTGAAAAGGACATGATGCAATATAATGTGGTTTTCAATGAATAGAATTCTTGGTAATTCAATTTATGTTCAGAACTTCTTAAAGGCAACTTACTTCCTAGAGGCCTTACCCCAGAGTTCAGTTCTGAGAACCTTACTCAAGTAACATTCCTTTTGGCTTGAAAGACTTGTGAAGGGAAATCAGAAAGGATTTTGGTGATTCATACCTCGTGATTAAAAAAAAAAACAAAAAACAGCAGTGCCACATCCCAGTCAGGTTGAGAGTGGGGCTTCAAATTCACCATCACCTCCTACTGTTTTCATGGGACCATTATTTTTTAAAAATTCTTCCTCTATTTCTGTAATTTGAAGTTTTCTTCAATCATCTAAAATTGTTATTTTCTAATGGATTGCATTTTCTGCCAGTGTTTCTTTAAAAATTTTTTGACAACTAATCTCTGATTCTAGTTGATTTTCATTTTATATACACATCTAGGTATCACATAACTCCGATTATGGTTATTGTTAAATAAAATGTACTGTTATATCCTATGTTCAGCATCCCCTGAGTAGTAAACCAGGCCCGTTAAAAATGATATGCACTCATTAAAGAAATTCCATTTAAAATCTTGGAAAGCCTACATAAAGAATGCTTCCTCGTATTGCTCTGTCAATCTTTCCTGCACCTGTTAGCATGTTTAGAAAATGGCTTTTTATAATTCAACCATCTTATTGCAAGTGGAAAAAGATTCACAAAAGTAATTCTGATTATTCAAATTGTTTTGTAAAACATAAAATTAAGAACATATCCTATAATAAGCACTAATAAACTTAGCAACTAGATATAAATAAAATATAGGTTATTAAAGTATTCTAATATGATGGGAAAGAGTTATAGGCTCATATAATTATCCTTGCTGAATGTAAACAGTTTCTGAGATAGTTTTAACTATTTTTAGTGCTTGAAATTTTGCAGCTTTCTCGGATATACCAGTGGAATCGGTACAGCTTCCATCATTACAGCTTGTTTTTTAACTCCCCCACGCATAATAAACCTATGAACTCCATTAACTGTAATCGATATGCATGCAAGGATGTAAAGGCCTCTGCTTGGCCCTCTCACTGCCTCAAACAAGAAGCCAAAATGAGTATGACGCCAAGTCCCATGCAAGTAATCAGGTACGTCATTTTTTATTTGAAAAGAAGTCCTCTCCAATAATAGAAATGCTGAGAAAGGTTATTACAATAACAAATGAGTTGGCAGGGTGATTTATGTTTGAAACAAATGTACCTTCTGATAGAATCCTCTTTAATTCTTTATAAATCCTGGGCTTAGTGGACAGGGTCTGACTCTGGGAATTCAGCAGTTGAATGCCCTCAGTACTTTGAATTCACTTGGTTCATTTCTTGTGGACCAAACAGCTGTTTTCCATAGTCCTCCCTGCAGGTATCTGTTTGGGGATTAGTAATGCTTCACATGGTCGTACATCACAAGAAATGGATGTGTAATTACATTAAATATGCTTCGTTTCTTTGGATTCACTTATCCCAAATCACTGATACTGGAGCCATTCAATAATTGTTTCCCATAAACTGCTTTACTTTTTAAACAACAACATCTTATATTAATGCAGTGGTTTTAACTCTTCAAAAGGCTTCAGAAATCTTCCTCCTTAGTTTTGTCTTTGAGTGTGCCTGAGTGTGTTTATCTTAACTCAGTGCTCCTTAGTGAGAAGATTCTTCTGGATCTACTTAAATATAGAGCTAGGTCTGTACATCTTTAGGAGGAGAACTTAGAACCTGGAAATATTACATAGAGGACCATGAACTTTCAGGGTGCTGTGGAGTCTAAGGGTGGGACAGACCACTGGTGACACTGAGAAAGACCCAGGAACGCACCTTCTTACAATACCACCCATTGCCTGAAAGCACTCAAAAAATTATGATGCTATGAGGTAAACTTTCAAGATCATTCCTGCTATTTCTGGACACTTCTTTTTCTTATCTGTTTCTAACAAGAGGCAGGAACGGTGACTGTGTCATTTACATTTACCACAGTGCCTTGCACATAATAAATAGATGCTTAATAAGTTTATATTATGTTGTTACATTCAATTTAATGAAATGAATGATGCTTTAGAGATGAATTTGCTAAATCTAAAACAATGGTTATAGGAAAACCATTGCATTGTAAAGTGCTGTTGATTTATGTGCTGATTTTGTTCACTTGTTCGATGAATATTGATTGATGGTACACTGTATGCCAGGTGTTGTTCTAGGCACTGATGACAGAGTAGAAAACAGACAAGTAAGATTCTTATTCTCATTCTCAAGTGTATATAGAAATGAGAATGAGGAGACAAATAGGATCCTTTCAGAGAGTAATAATTTCTGTGATGGAGAGGAGATAGAGAAGTTGTGAGATAGCGTGCCTGGGTCAGGAAGGGGAAGGTGACCTTTTTATTTATTTATTTATTTATTTTTTAAATTTTTATTGTTGGTTGTTCAAAACATTACATAGTTCTTGACATATCATATTTCACACTTTGATTCAAGTGGGTTAAGAACTCCCATTTTTACCCCCATATACAGATTGCAGAATCACATCGGTTATACATCCACTGATTTACATATTGCCATACTAGTGTCTGTTGTATTCTGCTGCCTTTCCTATCCTCTACTATCCCCCCTCCCCTCCCCTCCCCTCCCCTCTTCTCTCTCTGCCCCATCTACTGTAATTCATTTCTCCCCCTTGTTTTTTTTTTTTCCTTTTTTCCCTTTCCCCTCACTTCCTCTTCTATGTAATTTTGTATAACCATGAGGGTCTCCTTCCATTTCCATGCAATTTCCCTTCTCTCTCCCTTTCCCTCCCACCTCTCATCCCTGTTTAATGTTAATCTTCTTCTCATGCTCTTCGCCCCTACTCTGTTCTTAGTTACTCTCCTTATATCAAAGAAGACATTTGGCATTTGTTTTTTAGGGATTGGCTGGCTTCACTTAGCCTAATCTGTTCTAATGCCATCCATTTCCCTGCAAATTCCATGATTTTGTCATTTTAAATGCAGAGTAATACTCCATTGTGTATAAATGCCACATTTTTTTTATCCATTCGTCTATTGAAGGGCATCTAGGTTGGTTCCACAGTCTTGCTATTGTGAATTGTGCTGCTATGAACATCGATGTAGCAGTGTCCCTGTAGTATGCTCTTTTTAGGTCTTGAGGGAATAGACCGAGAAGGGGAATAGCTGGGTCAAATGGTGGTTCCATTCCCAGCTTTCCAAGAAATCTCCATACTGCTTTCCATATTGGCTGCCCCAATTTGCAGTCCCACCAGCAATGTACAAGTGTACCCTTTTCCCCACATCCTCGCCAGCACTTGTTGTTGTTTGACTTCCTAATGGCTGCCAATCTTACTGGAGTGAGATGGTATCTTAGGGTGGTTTTGATTTGCATTTCTCTGACTGCTAGAGATGGTGAGCATTTTTTCATGTGCTTGTTGATTGATTGTATGTCCTCCTTTGAGAAGTGCCTGTTCAGGTCCTTGGCCCATTTGTTGATTGGGTAAGGTGACCTTTTTAAAAGAGACAATGATATTTGGGTTGAGATCTGGATCAGGAGATGAAGTTGTAATGTGGCTACAAACCTGACAAGTTTTAGGAATATACAAGGAAGACCCATGTGACTAGAGCAAAATGTACTATGGGCCATGTTTAATGTGTTTCCCAAGAGGAAACACTACAGAGCTCATTTTCTTAGAGATGGAAAATGCTGTGGACTGAAGTCTATTGGCGTGGGTTGGAGAGATGGGAAAGGAGGACATGATGGTAAGCCTTTCAAACTGTCGGCAGTCAGTGGAGGGTTTAAACTCTGCCCTCCCTCCCCTCTCTTCCTATTTATTCATTCATTCCTCCCTTCTTTCTTTCCTCCCTCCCTCCTCCCATCTCTTTTTAAAGTGGGAAATACTCGCATTTGCTTGTGTCTTAATGGGACTGAATCAATAGACTGAGGAAGAACAATAATACAAGGGAAAAAGGTTAAATGTCAAGAGGGCAACAAGAAGAAGGCAGGAACACAGCCATAGGGATGGTGCAGAGATGGGTTGGGAGAGGATGCAGACACTTTGGGTTGGTTTCTTATATTTCCTGATTGGGCTGTTAGGGAGTTCCAGTTAGTTTGTATTCATTTTCTCAGAGGGGTGTGAGACATGGCCATCAGATGGGAATAGGACAGTGGAGGAGGTGTAGGGGAGTTTTAGAAAGAAAAAAAGTATAAAATTATCTTTTGGGAGGGTGGAGGATGGGGAGAAAATTTCCCAGGGAGGTCTAGTAAGGTTGTCTGAAATTTTTGATGTGTGGGGTTGTCACTGTCTGTGGTTCACTTTGAGGTTATCATATCTAACAAAAGTATTTGTAGAATCTTGTAAATGAAGAAGGATTGAAGAAAGTTCTGGGAAGTGTTCCATATGAAGAAGTACTTAACAAATTGGGCTTAAAGAAGACAATATTTAGAAGTAAAGTGAAGTAGTTAAAAGCATGGAGTCTAGAAGACTTGTGTTTGAATCTTGGCTCTTCTATCATTAACTTTGTGACCTTGAAAGAGTTACCCACTCTCTCTGAATCTTGGTTCTTTGGTTTGTGAGCAATGTAAGTAAATAAACTTTTCACATCAGGTTTGCTACATCACACATCCAATGATACCAGCTACTTATTGTGCAAATATGTGTGCATTAGTCAGCATTTTAATTGCTGTGACCCAAAGAACAACTTAGAGGAGAAAATGTTTATTTGGGCTCACAGTTTCAGAAGTTCAGTTTATGATCAGCTAACTCCACTGCTCCGGGCCCAAAGTAAGGGAGAACATCATGGCATGGTGGAGGAACATAGCTCTGCTCATGGTGGTCAGGAGAGGAGGTAGGGAAGAAGAAAGAAAAGGGCTATAGGGAAGGTGACCCTCAGTGATCCACTTCCTCCAGCTGCATCCTACCATGTCTTGAGGGCATCTCAGAAATTGGCAAGACCACACCTATTTCAGGCTTAAAGGTGTAAAAGTAAAAAAATCCTTTTAAGAAGTTACCATCCAGTGAATCCATCTGAACTAGGATGGACTGATTCCATTAGAGTTCTCATAATGTAATTATTCCACCTTTGAATATTTCTGCATTAACACAGGATCCTCTGGAGGACGCCTCCTATCTAAACCATAACATACTTCTCCTGGTCACAAAAAGCTCATGCCAACTACACAATGCAAATTACATTTTTTCCATTCCCTAGAGTCCTTAATATCTTAATACTTTAAGCATTGCCCCAAAGTTTCAGTCCAAAGTGTCATCTGAGACCCAAAGCAAACTCTTGGTTGTGAGCCCCTGTAAAAATCAAAATAAAGTTCCATATATCCAATATTCAATGGCACAAAATAAACATTCCCATTTCGAAAAGAAGAAATAGGGGCATAGAAAGAAGGTATGAGACCAAAACCCAGCTGGGTAAAAAGTTCTGTAACTCCACGTAGAGCATCCAGGACACGTGGTGGCAAGATGTGATCTCCAAGGGGCTTGGGAAGCCTCATCTCTTTGGACTTGCTGGTTATAGTGCTTATGGCTTCTCCCTAAGCCTGGCTGTCTCATCAATGCCTAGGAAAACTTGCAGTAAGATAGAAACTCTAAAGAATGTGTTAATGAAGGAAAAGGAGAAGACAAGCTGGCCTCTTCCCTTATCTCTGATCTTTAGATGAGAATCAAAACAGAATAACCTGTGTGGTGGTCATGCAACTTTTCCTATATGTTACCCCTGCTCATGGTGGTGGGTGACTCTCCATTGTTTCCCAACCTGCTGCCACTGAGGAGTGTGTGAGTAATAAAATATCCAAACCTCTCCATTGAGTATTTAAGTTCTTTCTCTCGAATCATTAAACACTATGTTGGGGTATTTGCAGCCCTAGGGTTGAAAACCCCTTAACTCCAGCATTCTTCATTCCTGCAGAACCAGCATCACATGAATGACACCAAGGTCTGCTGCCAGGTCTAGCAGTGAATGGGCCTCCTTGAACCATGATTGCAGCAGCCTTAGAATTCACTGTGCAGCTGAGCACAGTGAAACAATTTCCGAGTCCCACAGAACAAGCAGGGTGCCCTCATGATCTCTTCTTAAAGGGATTTTTACCTTTATGCCTTTAAGCCTGCAACAGGTGAGGTCTTGCCAATTCTGAGATGCCTTCAAGACATCTTACTTATTGTCTTTGTGAAAGTGCTTACCTTCTCTTTACTGGTGGTAATGTCTTCAACAACTATACCTTCCTTGGTCCTAATTTTAAATGCACTTTTCTGGCCAAACTATAAGTTTCTAAATTTCTTCAGTTCTTCTTTTTGCTATTATTTCTCACAGTACACTTAGTTAAAGTTTGAGAGCAATATCCATGCTACCTCCTAAATGCTGTGCTAACTTGAAATCTCCACTATCAGATTAATTAGTCCATTACCTTCAAATTCTGCCTTAAAGTTTCAGAATGTGGGCAAATATAGACAAGTTTTTTTTTTTTTTTTTTCAGAATATAGCATGAATGACCTCTAGTGCAATTCCCAACAGAGTCCTCATTTCCCACTGAAACCAACAAGCACAGTCTTTACTGTCCACATTCCTATCAGCATTCTGGTTTGAGTTCCCACCAGAATTGCCCATTAAACTCTCTATTCTGCCTCTGTAAACTTTGCCAAACTCTCTTAAAAAAACCAATTACAAAGACTTCTGAACCACATGGTCAGGTTAATCACAGTCATGACTATACTTCTCGGTAGTGATTTCTGTCACTGTGACCAAAATACCTCAAAAGAACAAATTAGTTCGGAAAAAGTTTATTTGGGCTTAAAGTTTCAAAGGTTCAGTCTATGGTCTGCCAATCTATCTATCTGGATCCAAGATGAAGGAGAACATCAGGGCAGAAGGGCCTGGCAGAGGAGCTCTGCTCTGCTCATGGTGGTCAGGAAGCAGAGAGGGGAAGGGGAAGGGGCCACAGGGAAGATGAACCCTTCTAGGGCACATCTAGTGACCCATCTCCACCCACCTTCAGTTCCCACCCAGTTAGTCATTCAAAGTAGGATGGAACAATTTGGTCACAACTCTGAAAATTTAATCATTTCACCTCTGAATATTCCTACATTAATACAGAAATTCTTTAGGGACAACTCATATCCAAACCATAACAGTATTTGTGTGTGTGTGTGTGTGTGTTTGTGGTGGTGGTGGGGTATTGCTCTTTATCTAGCCACAGAGCTTTTATGTGGAAGAGACACCAGGCCTGTTTTATAATATAGCACTATAGAACAGCTTTAGAACATGAGGAATCAAAATGAGGACAGCAAAAACAACTTTCTTGTGGCAGAGCTGTTCCAACATGGAGGAGGTCTCTCTGTGAGGGGGTGGGTTTCCCACTGCTGGAGATCTTCACACCATAGCTGGATGCCCACAGAAGGGAAGGCTTCCACGGGTACTATTTCTGCCTTGGTGGGAAGATGGGTTTAAGATGCTACAGTTACATGCAAATGTATTCATATGCCTGGTCATGTCCTATATATTTGCATGTATAACTTTTCATAGTAAATGATTTGTATCACAAGTTTGACTTGTGTGTGAACAAACATTTTGGTTCTTGTGAAGCCTGAGAAATCAACAGCATTATTTTTTTTGGCACACATTATATTATTGGATCATTTAAAGAATCCTATTAGGTAGATAATTGCTTTTATAGACTGGTAAGGAAAGTGAAGAGAGGTGAGGTCATTTGGCCATGAACTCAGAGGAAAATTAGTCTAAATCCTATAATATAAAACTCAATCCTATAATTGGTCCAATAATTCCCATCTCAGTTTCTTCAAATTGAGTGTCTTAAGAGTTTATAGACTCTCTATTAAGCATTATTCAATGTCAACTTTCTTTATTAGATGTGAAAAAGGCATGATTTATTTGACAGTGTTTTTGGATTTCATAATTTATTTTTTTATAATGCCCAATTATTTAAGCTAATTTATCTCATCAGTTCTCCTATGTTGATGAGCAGTCTTAGGAGTCAACTTGTATAGTACTGTAGTAATTTGCTAGTAGTATTTCTATAAAATAGCAGTAAGGTACAAAACATTATTAGATCTAAATTTGGTGATGAACAGGGAAAATGGCAGGGGATGCCCAAGGGAGATGCTACATGCAAAATTTAAAAAAGCATTTGATATAATTAACTAAACAGGAAAGCTGCAGCTCCTAGAATATCATAAATCTGAATGTATTAGCATTTTTGCTGAGAGAAAGACTAGTTCTCATAAGACTTTCTCCATAATCAAAGGCTTTTACCGGTTATGCTCAAATATTGTGTGAAAGGAAAAGATTTTTCCATACTATTTCTGGTTACATGGAGAAAACATTTCACTCTGGTGAGAACCAGAATGGCAAACAGGATTAAAAAAAAATTCATGCAAGCTGGCTAACGCTTCTTTATAAATCAGAGAGGAAATATTACCAAGCTCACTTTCTTAGAGATGGAAAATAATACCATTCTTCAGAGGAAAAATGAATCCATTGTTAAGCTCATCAACTTCTAAGTTTTCTGGAAAATTATATAATCTAAGTAAAATAGCTGAAGCTTCAGTAGCATTGCTAGAAACTGGAGTGTAGTCAAAGATGGTTGAAGGGGAGAAATTCGAGAAAAGGGAAGAGAAAGCCCGTGAAGTGGGTACAACTGAATTCTGGTGGATTATATGGGATGGGAACCAGATCTCTTTATTCAGTAATCAGCTTGATACTAAATATCTTCAGAGTATAATGACTTACAGAAGAACTCAGAGTTTTGATTTTTTTTTGTTTCTTTTTCTCTTAACAGTAACATGAGGCAAAAATAAGGAAACTTTCCTTACAGTTGTAACAAGCATGGAATTCAACCCGGTGAGTAAAGACTGATATAATTGGCTCACACTCTTTTACTCACTCTTGAATGATTTCAGAAGGGATTCCAATAAAGTGCTGTCTTAGTTTCCTGGGTCTGATATGACAAAATATTGCAAACTAGGTGGCCTCCAACAACTGAAATTTGTTATCTCAATTCTGGAGGTCAGAAGTCCAAAATCATGGTATGGGCAGGGTGTTCTCTCCATTTAGTACCAGGGAAGGATCTACTTCAGGGATCCTCTTGGTTGCTGGTGACTTCAGGAGTTCCTTGGCTTGTAGAGACATCCTTTCAGTCACCTGTCCATCTTCTTTAGTGTCTTCTGTCATTTTCTTTCTGTTTGTCTCTATGACCAAAGTTCTTATTTATAAGGACATCAATCCTATTGAGTTCACACTAACTATCTCATTTTAACTTGTTTACCATTATATAGAACCTATTTCCAAATTACTTCACACTTTGAGGTACTGGGAGATGGGACATCAACATATTTTTCTAGGGGAATGCAATTCAGTTCATCATAAGCACCTTGAATATCATTTTTTTTTGAGAAGAGTTGACTGTGCATGAAGAAGCCACAATTCTTTTTACTTCTCATTACAGCATCTGACAGACATATTAGCATATTAAGGTGCTTAGTGTTATTATGGGAGCTTGGCACCAACTATGTGCTCAAGATCTATTTTCTGATGAACGATTGTGATCATGTGATGCAGTTGTTCTTCAAAGCTCTTTATCACATTTAATTCATTCTAGCACCATTCAGGTGTGAAGGCTTGATTTGTTAGCTGAAGTCAGATAAAGCCTCTAGTGTCCTTGTCACCTCTGAACAAGAGCTCACCTGAGCAGAGGGGACCCTGGGTGGGAGAACATGAGCAGGACACCCTTTGATAATATGCCTGATACCTGTAAGGAAATTTAAATGAGATTTGGAATTCTTGAGTAGAAGAGCTGGGAGGAGGGTTTATGATGAATCTTGGTTTATTTTTCTTTGATTTTGTCAGGGTTTCCAAGTTTTCCCATTTTTCTGGTCTCTGAGCCAAAGGACCTGTTTGCTTGACCCCCTGTCTGCCCAGGTCAGCCTGCCTCCCATCTTCCCTCGTCCTCATCCCAATTGCATCTACCTCCAAGGCTGCACTTACTGGTTTTTGTAGCAGCATACATGTCTCTGCTTATGATTGTGTAGCTCTGTAGATGATCTTTCAGTATTCATGTCTCCCGTCTTGTGTCAAACTTGTTTTACTATTTAATTTTCTGAATATTTTGGGCTTATTTATGATATTTCCCACCCTGGCTTTGAGCCTCTTGTGGCCAGGGTCCATTCTTTCCCTAATTCCCCTACAGCCTGGTATACAGTTGGTACTCAATAAACTGATAATTGAAATTGAAAAATGCTGCTCATTCCCAGTAATTTTTGCTTATTAATATGTTTGTTTTTTTAAAAAGTGGAAATGATGGTCTTCAAATGATAATCCACATTTTTCATAGAGTCTCATATTACTTCTGTTTATTGTTAAAATAAATCCTTAGAACATTCTAATAATCCAGGAGGAAGGCAAACCTACCACCCCGATTTTATAAATGATCATTGCAGGTTGTAATTCTTTGCCAAGATCCCGGGATTCTCAAATGAGGGCATACATAAAGCTATAGACTATTTGATGTGATTGGATATATTGTGGAAAGCTGTAAACGAGCCAGTTTTGTATTCAGAGCAACACAGGAGGACAAGTGACCAGCCAACATCTGGCTGACACACCTCCTAAGGCTGTTGAGATAGTTGAATGTAGTAGTGCTTATAAACCTCAAGGGTTAGATCAATAGGAGCTCTCATCACTGTGATGGAAGTGCCATTTATGGACTGTATCTATATCCATATGTGTACATCTGTGCAGTGGAATTAGATATCATTGAACTAGATATTTTAATTTCCTGAAGTGTGTCTTTCCTGAGACTCATGGAACTGGTAATGTTGGCTTGATGGTCCACAGGAAATTGAAATAATGGAATTTTTTGGTAGCATATGAATTGACCCTGTGCATAGAGGCTGCACCTAAATGGCAGATTGAGGAATAAATTCTAATTCTTTGATTATAAAGGCCTTTTTTCCCTCAGTACAGCACCTTGCCATCTGTCTTTTTAATCTCTGAAAGGAAAACCCCAGCCTGATTCCAAACTCTTTCTCCATAATGGGAAATCTCTCTGTGTTTGATGAACCTAAGTGAAAAATGCGGTCTCATATCCATGTATTTATTAAATCTCTGGTTGCATAAAGGCCTCACTCCAAAGTAATGTTCAGAATAAATTGCTTCCATGATTGTATTGTTAGAATGCACATGTATGATTTCTTCTCTCTGCATTCTAAGATGACAATGTATCTTGGGGAGCATTAATGATACAAATTCAAACTACCAGGGCAATCAGCAACAGACAGATCAGAAAATTGTAGTGATTGGCCTAAATACTCCTCCTGAGTTCTTCTCAGTGCTGGGAGGGCTCAGAGGCCTCCTCTCTAGATCTGGCTTATCATTTTTCCCCCTGCAGAGACTCTAAGTCAGAAAAAATGATTTTTTTGCTCAGGGCCCAACAGTTCTTTGTGCTTGGGGTTCACCTGAGTGTTCCTTCTAGATGACAAATCTGCATCACAACCAATAACATTTTCCTTGAATCTCAGAGCTACACTGAATCCCTGACACTCTCCATTCTTCCAGCAGTACACATGGGAGTTTGACTTCTATAGCAGATCATTTTCCATTCAGTCGGGTGTTTGCTACTGTGAGAAAACGACTCCCACCTAGTGAACAGATTGGGCAACCAGCAATGTATAGATGTGCTTTTGTGGTGTTCCTGCTGCTCTTGGATTTGTTAGCATCCTAGTGGTCAGAAACACTCCTGCACAGTCAATATTTTTCCATTGTTTAGCAGACACCAAGTACTTTGCTATGTGATCTCATTTAATTCTCATGACACTCTGGTGAAGGAAGGGTATTTATCATCCCCTTTTACAGATGGGGAGTTTACCAGGGTTGAGAAATATGCCAAATTTGCTTGGTTCGTGGGTTGTAAAGTTGAGTTTTGGATGCAGTCAGGCAGATGCCAAGGCTTGGAGCCTTAACCATCTTGCCATGCTTTGAGGCAGTAGAGGGAGTGGTTGGCAGTCCTGCTGCCTGGAACCAAAGGCTAGTTCTACTGCTCTCTTCTCCTAGGATTGTGGGCAGGTTTCTATGCCTCCCTAAGCTGTTGCTGCCTTCTTGGGAGATGAAGAATAGGAACCAGCTGCACAGGGCTGTGGAGAAAATTAAATGAGATAATTGAAACATAATGTGTTTCACTTCACTTATGGAAGTGTTAGCTGTTGTTATTGAACTATATCCTGCAGTTATTTAGTCTGTCCCTTACTCTCCAGCTTAAAGGCTAGCACTGATGTTTCTTCCTATCATTAAGGGATGACAGTTGAGTGTGTTAAAGAGATCTAACGGAGGAATCCTAAATCTTTAACTGCAGTGATAGTTGGTTACATGTTCCCATTGACTTTTAGGGTCCAATATAACGAGACACCACGATGGACTTGCATATGGAAAGCTTCAGCAAAGCTCAGTTTCAGGGGTATTAAGTCTGTTCATCTTACCTCTCAACAAAGGCTCAGTGGGAAGTCAAACTCAGAGTCCTCATCCAAGAGCAGAGAGACCTGGCTTCTAGCACCTTCACTCCAATAGGTCGGAGTAAGTAGAATCCAGTTACAATTGGCATTCAGAGTTCTCATTTGCAAAATGAGAGAACAGAACTAGGAATTTCCTCATGATGCTAATATGACATCTTTCGAAAAAGGCTTGTTTTATTATTTGCTTTTAACAAGGACTGAATGCTGGGATCATAAAAGAGGAGTGGCGGACATGGGAAAATATAAGAAAAAGTGAAAAGGAAAACCACCAAAGGAAGGAACTACACTAAAGAAAAGTCAATCAAAGAAGAAACTTATTCAAGTTAAAAACCAGAAGTAAACCAAAATGACTAGGAATACAAATCATATCTCAATAAAACTTTGAATGTAAATGGCCTAAACTCATCAGCTAAAAAATATAGACTGGCAGATTGGATTTTTTTTTTTTTAAAAACCCAACAATATACTGTCTACAAGAGAGTCACCTCATAGGCAAAGACATCCACAGATTGAAAGTGAAAGGATGGGGAAAAACATATCACTCGTGTGCATCTTGTAAACAAGCAGCAGTTTCTATCCTCATATCAGATACAGTAGACTTGAAGCTAATCAGAAGGGACCGAGAAGGATATTTCATACTTCTTAAAGGAATTATACATCAACAAGACATAACAATTGTAAATATTTATGCCCAAACACTGGAGCATCTATGTACATCAAACAAACGCTTCTCAATTTCAAGAATTAAAGAGAGGCCATCTTCTTGCCTGAGCATCCTGAGTCTCTGGGATTATGGAATGTCTTTAGGTGGATCCAAGATGGCGCTGGAGGGAGGCAGCATTCTGGGTGGCTCCGTGACCTGGGACTCCAGTAGTGAGAATGCTGCTTCTCTGTGAGCGATATTCCTGCTCCTGCGAGGGAATCATGGTCACTATGCCCTACAGGGCTCCCGGCCTCAGTGTCAGAGTAGGTCTCCCAACTTCTGGGCCACGCAGGGCTACCGGGTACCTGAGCTGGACATCAGCAGCCACGCAGAACTCTCGGCCACCCACCCAAGCAGAAATCATCAATGCCACTCCCATGCAGGACACCCAGCAGCTTTCCACATGCAGGAATTCGGCCACCACTCTTATGTGGGCCCCCATTTACCTACGTGGGGCTCCCTGGCCACCGCCATCTTGGGACTCTGCAGCAGCAGAGATAGGCCTGCCTGCACCCAGGAACCTCACACAGGCTCTGAAGTCAGTGACAGCCACACACTGCACACCACAGAGCTCCTCTCTGAACTCATGGTCCAACACCATCGCTCAGCACTCAGCCTGATACCCCACCGCTGAA